CGTCGGGAAATTATGGTCCAAAGATTTGGGGACAACAGCAATCGAACCAAAAGTCGGATGTGGGAATCCATCAATTATTAACCCCTCATTCGATTGAGAGTCGGTTCCACCTAAAACAGCCTCCAAAATGTCAGCAAAAACCCGAGCACAGACATTGGTGAGAAAATATTTCACCCCGCTAATCGCCCTGAAACGGTTTTGGACAAACATCTGAACCGGGATTTCTTTTCCGGCCGCAGTGGAGGTGATCGGAAGGACGGTGGGGTGAGGCCGGCCGCCGTGATTGCTGGAATCTAAACAGCCAAGGCAGAGAACAGCTTCATTGGCTAAAGCATTCAGCAGAGGATTGGAGAGAGGCATAATTCTGAAAATGAAATTGGTGAAGCCCTGTTCTTCGAGCCAGAGCCAGAGGGAGACGACGAGGAGGGACTCGGCGGCGTCGCGGGAGAGTTTGAGGAGCAAACGGGAGAAGATTTCTCTGTCAATGGAGTGGTAGAGATGGAGCTCTTCCAAGGTTATGGAGGTCATTGTTAATGGAGTTTAGAGAGATGAAGCAGAGGAAAAACAGAGGATGCCGTTATTTTTTGTTTTTTGTTTTTTATTTTTAGTGTAGAGAAAAGAGGGTTTATTGTATTGGGAGTTGAAATGATGTAATTTAATTGGTGAAGTCTGAATTAACCAATTCAAGCACTGAGCCAACTGAGAAAATGAAGATGAAAAAGGTCTGGTTTTCTTTACTGCCTTTTTTCAAGAAGAAACAGAAAGATGCTTCTTTTCCATATTTGGATTTGTTGGGTATTTCTTTTTTTCTTTTTTTTCCTTTTAATACTGCATTGGGAGCTTGAGCTTTATTTGGCATTTAATGAACTCAATGTTTTAACCTTTTTCAAAGTTTATTGTTTGGTTTTATGTGAATTTGAAGTTGATTTAAGAGAGAAATATATGATATGTAATGATATTTTGTGAAATGTTTTGAAAGTATGGGATGAGTTAGACGATTTAATAAGAAATTGAATGGTGATGAAATTGTTTCTATTTTAGACCAACATATTTTATCCTTCTAAATAAATGAATTAAGCATTTGAATCATATTTTTTAAAAGAGGTTTATTTAACTTTTAACTTTCTTTTAGTCAAAATGTTTATTTTCATCGATGTACTCTCAATTTTTGTTCATTTGATTTTTTATACTACGTTTTTTGTTTATGTATTTTTAAGAAGTGACGACCTGGTTTCTATTTGCAAAATTTTACATACAACAAAAATCTTCGTACAAATTTGTGGTTGTATTTGAAAAAAAAAATTAGTGAATTAACTATCATACTAAAATTAGTGTCAAATGAAAATGAAAAATGAAAAATAAAGAGAAGAAAATTTGAAATCACAAGAGACTAAAATTTGAAATCATGAGTTAAAATGAATAAAAGTTAGAGGTGCAATGATCAAAGTTGATGTTTTGAAAACACACGTAAATCTTTGAAATATTATTCAAAGTATATATTTTTTAAAATATATAATTTTATATAATTAACTTTTTAGAACACGATAAATATGGGGATGGAGATTTGAACCTTAGAAATAATATTTAGTCGGCAAAATATGTCTTTTGTTGCTTGGAATAAAAATGCAAAATCAATTTATAAGATAAATTATCAACCCAAATTTGAATATATCAACTCGAGGAAAGTTCCATTTGTTTCTTCCTTCCTTTTGGGGTACGACAGGAAACCTCAATATTCATCTGGTTTACTTGGAAATTGGAATATACAAAATTGAGTGCTTTGAATTTTGTTTCTGGATGCATTTTTGGGTTTGGAGTCTGGACAATAAATTAACAAAAGATTTTCAGTTTATTTTGATAATAAATATTTTTGTAAATGTATTTCGTTAATTATGAACAAGAAACAACAAATAATTTGTTTCTATGGGAAGTACCAGTTTAGCTTCCTTGTAATCTTTCATATTTACGCGGGGAGGATCATATATAGTAAATCCTAATTTTACTTCCTTGTTAGATTTTCATATTTATGAGGGTCTAGTCGGTGAAAATTTTTTATATACAAGTGAAAAAAATTGAAAGAGGTTGTGACTTCGATCCCACCCTTCAAAGAATTATGTTTAGATTGACTCGGTTCATGTACTTTCAAAAAAAAAAAAATTAAAAGTATATGAACCTGAACTAAGAATATAAATAGTAAAATAAACAAAAAACTTGAAAGGAATAAACATTTTTAAGATCAAGATGAACTAAAACCAAATACATAATATTTATATTTATGTTTAAACCTACAAAGTACACGAACAATTAATAGATTGAGCTATTTCCAATCAGCCCCATACCCTTTGTCTTTATTTTAAGGCCCCATACCTTTACCTCATCCTTCTAAATAGATTTTGTTTATTGAATAAATATGTCCCATTAAGCATTAGAGGCATAAATCATATTCGTAAAACATATTTTCTGATCGGTTTTAAAATTCTTGGAAACTAAATTCTTTAATAACGTTTCAAAAAGAACAGCCACGTTTTCCATTTTCCAAAACTGAAAAAGTTTATTTAGTTAAATTAAATTTTCAGATGCTCAAATTCTTTAAGATCTCATGAAATATGAAGTCTTTAAAACTCTAAAACAGAATAAGCACTTTATTAGTGTTCTTTCAAAGTCACTTTTGTAACATACATACAAATAAACTTCTAATCTTTCAGATTACCTTAAGATATTAAATCTCATTTAACGCCACTTAAAACACATTTTCTTCCAAAATTCATTCCATACTCAAACCAAATTGCAGCTAAATTAAACATCTTGTAGACTTCAAATAATAAAATAATATTGGAACATTTCGAATAACTAAAGAACTAAGAATATAATTTAACCTAACACAAAACATAAAATTCCAGTCATCTAATTTATAAACTATCTCCTTCTCAAAACTTAATGCATCCATTTCCGCATATCCTAACTTAAATAATCCATAGCATATCAGGGCACAATAGGGACTAACTAGACAGAACACAACTAGCTATGAAATTAGTGAAATAAGTTCACAACGAATCTGATAAAATTACTGAAACACTACCAACAGTCTACCGTAATCGTTAGTCTTGCAGAGAAAAGGGATATCTAAAGTATTACAATTTGGTGATTCATGATTCAGAATAAAATGCATAAAGAGACTTCCCATGCAAGATGTACAGCCCCAGCAATTAGAATACAATAAACTCAAATGGCAGCATGTACCACCGCCACATTAAGAGCAGAGCATTCATTACCCTCAATCAAAGCTAGTGTTGTGGTGGTTTCGATCCATTTTTAGTCCGAATCAAATATCAAACCACAATGACATGTGAGAACCACCCTCGCCAACCAGGTGGCCCAACTTTCTATGCTGAAAATTCTCTACGTCTATGATGGCACTGCAACCAACAAAAGTAAAATATTGGCATAACTCATGAGGACGTGAAAACTAAGCTAATGATAAGAATTACGAAACATCATAAAATAGAGAACGCCTTACTACTTCCTATTGTTTCCAGTCCAAAGAGTTGGGAGTGAAAAACCTTCTGATGTCAACTCAATTAATCAGACACATTTTATTTTATTCTATCAAACAAATACTTGTCTAAAGAACGTGAATTTCAGGATTTAAAAACTGTCCTAACTCAGATTGCAAAACAAAAGCAACTTAGAAAGAATAACAGACCAATAAATGCATGACATATAACATTTACAACAAACAGGTTGTAACCGTGTACATGTTTCTTTCACGCATCAGTTCTGATTTTCCATTGAAAAACAGGTGACTCATTGACACAACAAGAACACTGAGGTTACCAAAACACCTACTTTCACAATACCGAAGCCACAATTTTTAACCCAGGACAACCGTTAAGGATTCATTTTAAATGGGGAGAAAAGAAAAGAAAAAAATGGTACTCAATAGCACCAAATAAAGGCTGGAAGAGCATTAACACAAATTGCAAGAGACTGGGTACCAAAAAAGAAGATAATCCCATTGAGAAAATGAAACAAGAAAACATACTGTATGTGGATGTATCAATCTGCTCTGGGAGCTCCTTAATATCTACTTCAAACCTTTCTTGAACCTGCAATATCCAAACGATTAAGAAAACGCAATCTAACAATCACACAAAATAACAATTAGAAATTACATACATTGTTGAGAACATCAGAATCAGCTGCAGATGATACAAAAGTAATAGCAAGCCCTTTAGTACCAAATCTACCAGCTCTACCAACCTATAAGATATTCAAAAACAAAGACGAGTCATACACAATCATAATGTGCGATGTAGTGGATTAATGACAAACACAAGGCATAGTCCATTTTACCCTGTGCAGATAAGTATCAGCAGAATCTGGCATGTCATAGTTGATGACAATGTTTACACGTTCGATGTCAATTCCTCGTCCAACCAAATCGGTAGCCACAAGAATCCGCTTATGTCCTTCCTTGAAACCCTTGTAACGGGTCAACCTAACACATCATTAATATCTATATTAGACATTGATATCAAGAAAGATCAACCACTATAAAAGTAAATAACAAAATGAATTGTGCAAATTTAGAAACTTCCTACCAGACAACATTAGAAGGGTGAATTTATAACAAAATTAAAAATGAGAGAGAAAATGAAGAACAATTAAATTTCAGAAACATATACTTTAGTAACATCATATCCAACCTCAAGCATGAAAATCAAAGTTTACCTCAACATGCCCATTACAAGTTAACAGTAATAAGGAAAATCAGTATACTAAAGCACAAACGAATAAGAATATTTTGAACCTGGGAGAAACAATGTCATGGACCTACCTTTCTTCCTGAGACATTCCAGAGTGGATGCATATAGATGGAAAATTACACTCCACCAGCAACTTATCCAGCTCAGCTGCCCTATTAACACTTTTGACAAAAATAACAACTTGGTTGAAGTCCAAAGCATCGAGTAGGTCGTTCAACTTCCGATTTTTCTCCATCTCGCTCAATTTGATGTAGTGCTGACATTCCAAAAAAAAAACAAATTTTAAGGTGGGAAAAACTCAATCAATCCACATAGTTACACATGTCAACAACCATGTACCTGGACAAGACCATGCAATGTCAACTTTGCCTCGTCATCTACATAAATTTCCATTGGCTGAAAGGAACAAATGTCTCAGTAAATCATAATACTTCCTCAAGATGAAGGAAATGAAAGAGCATGTTCATCCCATGAGTCAAGATTGTGGTCCAACTGTTCTGCCGGCCCTCGCAGATACTTCTAGTCACCCAGCAATGCCGCAGATGCAGATTATTATTCTAATATACAAAATCTGACAGGACCCTTTTCCCTTGCCCCCTACCTTGGATACCCCTAACCGCACAGTTGGAAGTTGGAACCAGAATCCAACAACTGGAACCCAGTAAGAGAGTAACAGGTGAAACACAAAATTTGAGAGGAAGAAAAAAAGGTGGATGACTTCAATCAACAACTACCACCACTTCAGAACCCTCTAAAATATTAACTCCAGGACTCCTCTCCAACATACTAGTAAATTCCCGACCCCGCTAAACATGTGGCCAGTAAAAGATATTACTAAAATATATCCCCCTCAAACAAGAAGAGAGTGGGAAACCCTACTGTAAAAACCAAAATTTGCAAGACTCTGGGAGAAAGCGCAATTTAAAGGGAAAAAAACTTCTAAATTCAAGGTTTACTAGCTGTAGGACATTACATCTTGCATAAATTTCTTGCAAACTGGACGGATTTCTTTGCTGAGTGTTGCAGAAAACATCATAACTTGTTTGTCATGAGGAGTCATCTTGAAGATTTCCTGTACATCCCTCCGCATATCTGCAGTGCACATGTAGACTTATTTTAAGAAAACATGCTAATGTCAAATAATACATGCACTGAAATAAAAACCATAGCCCGTGAGACACTGAAGCACGAGTATGAGGAGAATAATGGAACTTGACAGATCATAATATGAAGTGAAGAACCCACTAAAAATTGATGGATAAGTGATATTAGAAAGAAAATATACCGAGTGACTCAAGCATCTTGTCACATTCATCCAAGATAAAATGCCTAACATTCTTCAGTGAGAGGTCCTTATCTCTTGACAATGCCAATATCCTTCCAGGTGTTCCAACAACGATATGTGGGCATTCGTTTTTCAGTAGATCTTTATGAATTTTAATATTTACCCCACCATAGAAGACAGCAACCTTCAGATCGGGAAGATAAGTGCTGAACCTTTCAAACTCATGACAGATCTAAACAGCAAATAGGGGGAAAAGTGTCAGAAGCTAGATGCAAATAATTACACTTTAGATATATTATTTTAGAAAGCGTCACAATTACATAAGAGAAGCAGCTTTCCAACGGACCTGGTATGCTAACTCCCTAGTATGGCATAGAACTAGGGCAGAAACTTGACCAGCAACAGGGTCAATCTGCTGCAGAGTTGACAGAACAAAAACAGCAGTTTTACCCATACCAGATTTAGCTTGACAAATAACATCCATTCCGAGGATAGCTTGGGGAATACATTCATGTTGCACTGATGAAGAACCAAAGAAAAGGACCGAACGAAATGAACCGTTGGTAAGTAAATTATAACGTCTTCGATCCTTTTATGTGAAAGGTTTATCAAACCATATAAATTGCTCCGAAATCAAGATTATGATATTAGTTTATTACCTGCAAGCCATTAAACCAACCTGATATAAACATCTGGGAGATAAACTGATTACAAAAAGCAAGTAATGAAGAGATGGAAACAGATAGGAAACAGCATTATCGATAAAGACACATTTTTATTCCAACTTGACATGTTAGTGTGATCTCATCCATGAAATTATATTGTTTGGAAAGGTGTCATTAAATTATTCTGTATTTAATACCAAAATTTGATTTTTAGCACATCATTACGTTTGAATGGTGAGTTATAAAACATGCTTTGACTTAGACTGACATTACATAGCCCTTGGTTGGGGTCAAAAAAAAAACTTTGAGCGTTCTCAGAGGCAAAAAAAAAATTTGCAGACCGTGAACAGAAATAAATGCATGGTGACCAATGAACATAGTAAATAATCCCCTATTATCACAGATAGACCAATTTTGTAATGCATTTTTTATAATCCATTCAAAGTAAAACATACCAAGGAAACACCTAAATAACTTTATACTGCGCATAATGTGACAACTCCTTTACACACTACAGTTCCTAAAATATTATCAAGTTCCATTTTTCATCTCTTCTCAGCCACGAGACCCAATAACAACCATATTAAGGGATTCCACAAAGTAACCAAACATAATAGACATTAATTACAGGTTATGAACGACTGCATCCATCACAGATAGACAAACTGGGTCTTCAATATATTCCTCTAAATCCAACGAATAGACAATTTTCCATCTGAATCAATTTAAGTCACATGATAACTTTAGCTCGAGTTTCAATGATTGAGAATTAAATAAGAAATTTGCCTTCAGATGGATGCTCAAACCCAGAGTCCACTATAGCACGAAGAAGTTCTGGCTTCAAAAGGAAGTCTCTGAATCCCGAACTATGAATTCCAACATAGCCCCTGTAAAATTAATAGGATGACAGAAGGTAAGGATCTCAAATAGAAACAAAATGAAAGCACCGTCACCCCAAACAAAAGAAGATAATTGGTGGTAAAATTAATATTTTGCCAGCAAGATGTAGTGGGAAGGATAAATCTTCAAATTTCAGTTTACTGCAGGCTCACACAACTACTTATTATTCCAACTCCTAACTCCAAATTAAACCGTGTTGACAGAATTACTTCCAAATCTAAAATTTTCACTTGACAGACATTCATCCAAGAGACCAGGGTGAGATACTCGACCCATCTTTCCCTGTATTGTCAATTCATCCATATGTAAAATCTACAGAACAAAGGTAGAGATTGTGCACAAAAATACTGCTTACTTCTTTCCAGCTTCACCGTTGACTTTAGCCCCAACGGAATCGGGGGCCTTCTCTTCCTCTTCCTCGTAGTCGAGGAGCTCTTCCTCATACTCGTTGTCCCTTGTTTCTCCCATATCTTCCTACAAGCAAACCCCAAATAAGGATTCAAATTTCGAGTTCAGAAGAACTAAATCCAACCTAACAATGAAACTAGGGTTTAAAACAGTGACGACAAGGAATTAGGGCTTCTAACAGAGTGATTGAAGAATACCTGTTAGCCTGCTAAGAACTGGACTAAGAGTTAGGGTTGCGATTTCACGAAGTCTGCAAAGGAAAACTAAGTTAGCTGGAGAGAAATTGCTAAGACCTGGCTTCCGAGAGATCGTAGAGCGCAGAGTGGAAGAGCGGAAGGGTTATTAGGGTTCCGAAAAATAGATTTCCATTATAAAGGCCGAATTCTTCACCTTATTGCCCAAAATACCCTTGCCGCGTGCCTCTATTTACGATGTCTTGTCCCATATCCGATATTTTGTGGGCAAAATAATTATATTGAGGTAAATGTCACAAAGTCCTCCACTGAAGTATTATCGGAATTAAATAGTAACAATTATATCATTACAATTTTAATATATTATCTCTAATGTATATATAAATAACCAACTATAACTCGGTTAATGCATCTATCTCCTCTCGTGAATTTTAATTTACTATAATAAAAATATATATAACCTGTATATAAATAATAATCATTTTCCCTCATTTTTTTAATGAAATAAAATTGGTAATCTCATAAATCCAAATAATGACGTGTAATGCTATATTGTATGATTGCATAATTTGTATCGTGGTTCAAGTTTATCTACTAATGCATACATATCGTTGGAGCTAATATAAACAACTCGGTAGATATGTTATCTATTACTATTTTATAAGGTTGATGGTTTGATCATATGCGACACAATTGTTGAATTAAAATAAATAAAATAAAATAAATGAGTCACTCAGTTGAGTAGTTTGATTTAATTTTTCTTAGTACAGTAAGTGCAGGAGGATTCGAACTTTTAACTTCTTGGTCAAATATTAGTAATAATTATCACATTTAAGTTCATGTTAGCCCGTACTTTATATAGATGAATTGCATAATTCATGGTGAAAGTAGTAGTCATGTTGAATGAATGCATATTTTACATAGCAGTTCGATTCATGGACACACCCATTTCTATCCCTTTCTATATTGTTGACGCATATTATACTATTGGACGATTAGAGCATATGAATTTCATTCACCACTCATTGCAACTCTGATAGATCTTCCTCCTTATGTCGTACCAACTTAACTACTTCAACCGAATTTGATTCCACAACTCTTGAGTAAGTGTCCAGAATCTTTGAGTTTCGAAGGCCTTTGGGAAAAAAATAAAAACAACTGATATTTTGAAAAATGTATATAATTTTGCTGTTGTCATCCAACCTAATTTTCCTCCTAACTAAATGGTAATAAAATGTTTAGCTACAACTAATTTGATTAATTTTCAAGAGTAAAATATAATTTTGACGATGAGTTTGAAGATTATAAGTTTTTATATCATCCGTAAATTTCAAGTAATAGCTTGGTCTCGAATTTTAAAAAACAGTTCAAAAAGATCTATAGAGTCAATTTTCACGAGTGAGACTAACGAAAAGTTGACGCAACGATGGTGGGTAAGATATTTTATAAATTTTATATTATTTTTAGTTATGTGTATTTTTTTTATTCATTTTATATGCTCCATCTCTCTTTTCTTTCTCTCCTTCATTTTTGTAGAGGACAAATGCAGATAAGGTTTTAAATATAGATGTTGATGAAAATGTCGAGGTTTCAATTTCATGAAAAATATTGATGTAAATATTGATAAAATGTAAATGTCAAAGTTATATAAATTAAAAAATATATTTTAAATTAACGAATATCCATTTTAATATTTCTAAGTAAGTTAAAAAATAATTAATATTAATACAATGTAGATATATGTCCATTACCACTAAATTATGCTCGCTTTAACAATATCATGTATATGTTAGTGACATTTTAGTGATATTTTTTCATATTTTTGTCGATTTTTTTATACTAAGATGGTAATATCGATTTACTTTTCATGTCGATGTCGAACTCGTAAAAATATAGATATGTCAGTGGATATTTAGAACCACGACTGCAGAAGGCGTCTGTGAGAGCTGGACAATATATGAATACCAATAATTTTTACTTTGTCGAAATGCGGCGAAATCAGTGCAGGCCTTTACTTTTCTTGAGTGGGTGTTTAGAATTGAGAGGCTTTTACGGAGAAATATAAAACTCTACTCCTTGTGATAAACAAAGCAGCAGGATAAATCATTAAAGTGTGAGTACTCTCTAATCTTCTTCCAGCATCAAGCAGGAAAATGGAAACGCTGCTGCAAATTGCAAAACACCCAAAATTGCATCAGAAACCAGAAAAAGCAATAAGAATTGTATCCACGTTAACATTCTGGCAGCACTAATGGAAGTTTGATTCCAAAAATCTTTTATAACTATTTTCTAAAGTTCCCAAAAGGCGTATTTTACCTGATTTTTAATTTTCCCAAAAGTCATTATTGCTCTCTTCTCAGAGCGGTGGTGGGGTTCATCAATCTCGATCACAACCATCCATTTTTACGCCCTTTTCCCAGTCAGATCCTGACGGTTCATTGCGGAATTTCGGAACTGTACAGGAGGAGAAACGAGAAAGCAGAAAGAAGTCAAGTCAAGAATCACGACCAAAACCAGAAGTAAACAACACCCGATAAGTAGTTCACTCCTAAACCTTACTTGAGAAGCTACCCGACTGTACCCATCAGCTTATATAATCTCCCATCGCATCCGACATTCGCAATCTCAATGCTTTCATTCTCCTGGAATCTGCAAGGATTCTTGATTATTGCGAGCACCTGTTAGAGAACCCCAGTCCGCAAGTTCTTGTTTTTGGAGGTTAGTGATTTCAGTTGATTCAGAATGACTTTCCACAATGAAATTTGTATTTCTTCTTTACATTAAGAATCTGGGGTTTTGATTTTGCTCCGTCGCCTTGCCTTTGGATTGTTTGAGACTCTGTTTGGCAGCCAAGAAAATGTGGGGAAGGGAAGGGCGAAACTATTTTGTGTTTATCCAATGATGGGTTGGTTGGCGGGCTAGAAATGTTTGGAAATGAGTTTGTAGTTTATGGATAGCCATAGCCCATTGTTTGATAATTGTAAAATGGTTTTACTTCGTGTAAACCCATGACTGTTTGTATTAGTGCATTATCTTCAATTTGAGAATGCAACACCCTTTGATATTCAGTTTCTTGAAATTTGTAAATACGTGCTTACTTATTTGTAGTTAGTACTCACAAATTCTCTCACACATGAACAAGTGCAGTTGAGCATCCGACTTGATCCCCAGTGTTGGTGATCATATGTCTTTGGGAATTTGTTTTCTCCAGAAAATTTTAGAATGATAGATAAAATATATATGAAGTTATTTTGGTAAACCAGACGAGCATTCTTACTGTTAAAATTAACCTCTTCCAGGAGAACTACAATATTTATTTTTCTTCATGGAAGCTGTCCTCTTGATTTAAAGGGCAAATAGATAAAAGTTGACGTGTTTTCTCTATTTTAGTCTTCGTGTTCATTGGGTCCTGTATGCATTACTTTTTAAAGTCCAATAAGTTTAAAAGAATACAAGAAATAAATTATATGCAGTTATTAGTCACTAGCAATTGATGGAATCTTTATCAAATATCCTGTTTTATGTATCCTGTGCTCATAGACTTTAAGATTTTGTTTTTAAAAGAATATTCTCAACTAATTTATCAAGTATAATAAGAAATTGATTGCCATCACTCTTTTTCTCTCTCTCTCTCTCTCTCTCTCTCTCTAATCAGAGAAATAAATGGGATCGGAAGAAAGTGAAAAGATAGTGGTAACTCAAGTAAGCATTGGCGGATTTGATGGTGATGTCAAAGCGAGAGATCTTATGAGTTATCTTGAATCTGAAGTTGGGCTTGTGGACAAATGTAGATTGAAAACTTCTTGGACTCCTCTCGATTCCTACCCAGATTTTGACATCATTAATGTTGCTGATGTCATTAAATCTGATGATTACAAGAAGGTGGTACCCCATGCATTTGTGCATTTTGCCACACCTGACTCTACTGCTTTGGCTTTACATGCTGCTCGTCGTTGTGAGCTATTATTGAATGATAACTTATTGAAAGTGAGTTTGGGGCCTGAGAGTCCTTTCCATGTTAATCAGAGGCGGAGGACTAAGGTTCCCTTTAAGTTATCTGATGTGCTTGTTGAGATAGGGAACTTAACTTGTCAAGATGGATTCTCTGTTGCTTGGAGAGGGCCTTCCAGTGGAATGGATTTTCTAGTGGATCCCTTTGATAGAACTTGTAAATTTTGTTTCACGAGGGATACTGTGTTCACGTTTAAAGGCAACAACAAGCATACAGTTTTGAAGTGTGACTATAAAGTGGAGTTCCTGGTGAGGGACATTAATCAGATAAAAAGATATACAGATATATCATGTTATGTTATTCTCTTGCAACTTACTTCGGCACCCTGCATTTGGTATAGAACTGCAGACGATGATATTTGTAAAGCAGTTTCATATGATTTGTTGGATGATGATGATCCATGGATCCGGACAACAGATTTCACGTCTAGTGGGACTATGGGTCGTTGTGATACTTACAGAGTTTCAGTCCCACCCCGCTATGGTGCCAAGCTGAATAACGCCATGAATTATCTCAAAGAACAAAGGGTCCACCAGGTCTCCCTCAACCGGCCTCCCAAGGTCATGCATGAACCAGATTATGGGGTGCGCATGACAGATCACTTTTTTTGCATCCATTACAAAGAAGGCATACCCTTTGAGACATTATTTCTAGTAAATGCCGTAATGCACAAAGGGATAATCAACCAGCATCAAATGTCCGATAGATTTTTTGATTTGCTAAGAAACCAGCCAAATGAAGTCAATTTGGCTGCTCTAAGTCATATTCATGCTGATAGATGTCCTGTACCTGATGCCTGTAAGAGGATAAAACTTGTACAAGAATGGTTGTTGAAGAACCCTAAGCTTTGGAAAAGATCTAAAGAGCTGGTTGATATCATTGAAATTAGGAGATTAGTAATAACACCATCAAAAGCATATTGCTTTCCACCTGAGGTTGAACTCTCCAATAGGGTTTTGAGAAGGTACAAGGATGTTGCTGATAGGTTCCTCAGGGTTACCTTCATGGATGAGGGCATGAGGAAGATCAATTCACATGTTTATACTTATTATGTTGCACCTATAGTAAAGGACATTACTTCCAAATCCCTTTCCCAGAAGACTAAAATATTCGGAAGGATGAAAAATATTCTGCAAAATGGATTTTACTTGTGTGGACGGAAATATTCCTTTTTAGCATACTCATCCAACCAACTAAGGGATCAATCTGCTTGGTTTTTTGCTGAATGCAAAAATGTAACAGTTGATAGTATTTTAAGTTGGATGGGTAGGTTCACCAATAGAAATGTTGCGAAGTGTGCTGCTAGAATGGGTCAATGTTTTTCATCTACTTATGCAACAATTGAAGTTCCAAGTAATATAGTCAATGATGATCTTCCAGATGTCGAGAGGAATGGATATGTATTCTCTGATGGGATCGGCACCATTACTCCTGATCTTGCACGGGAAGTTGCCAACAAATTGAAGTTGGATGGCAATCCGCCATGTGCCTATCAAATTAGATATGCAGGTTGCAAAGGTGTGGTTGCTTCTTGGCCATCCAAGGGTGACGGGATCCAACTTGCTTTAAGGCCTAGCATGAACAAGTTCCAATCAGATCATAGAATCTTGGAGATCTGTTCATGGACTAGATTTCAGCCAGGTTTTCTTAACAGGCAGATTATAACCCTACTTTCTACACTAAGTGTTCCTGATGAAATTTTTTGGAGTATGCAGGAGACTATGGTTTCAAAACTAGATCGAATGATCACTGATACAGAAGTGGCATTTGATGTTCTCACTGCATCCTGTGCTGAGCAAGGAACTGCTGCAGCAATTATGTTGAGTGCTGGCTTTGAACCTCGAACCGAACCTCATCTAAGGGGCATGCTAATGTGTATAAGAGCTGCTCAGCTCTGGGGCCTTCGCGAAAAATCCAGGATTTTTGTTACTGAGGGGAGGTGGTGTATGGGGTGCTTAGACGAGAGCGGAGTGTTGGAAGAAGGCCAATGCTTCATCCAAGTATCCACTCCATTGCTTGAGAAGTGTTTCTCCAAGCATGGGTCTCTCTTTGTTGAGACAAAGAACAATCTTAGTGTGGTAAGAGGGACTGTGGTTATAGCCAAGAATCCGTGCCTTCATCCGGGAGACGTGAGAATTCTTGAAGCAGTTGATGCTCCTGAGTTGCATCATTTATATGATTGCTTAGTTTTTCCCCAAAATGGTGAACGGCCCCACTCAAATGAAGCTTCTGGAAGTGATTTGGATGGGGATCTCTACTTTGTCACATGGGACGAAAATCTTATTCCACCAAGCAAGAGAAGTTGGCCACCTATGGAGTATGCTCCAGCGGAAGTAAAGACTCTTTCGCGAATGGTTAATCGCTGGGTATTGTCTTCCTACTCAATCTTCTCTCTTGAGTTTGTTTACCATTCGTGTTGACTTTCACGACCTGCATGCATAATTCTTTAATTCTGCCTAGGCTCTTAACACAACTAACACAACCTCTTTACATGAACCTGAATGGCTACTTTGTTTCTTCTCTTATTTATATATTTATTTTGTTTATTATTTCCTTTCACCTACCTAAGAATTAATATTTTACGAGTTGCTTTAGCAACCAAATAACCAAATGAGGAAACTCCGTGAATTAATTCATGAGTGACATTTCTAGACAACTACTATAGGTTGGCCTAGTGGTTCCGACCAAACGGGAAAAAAAATAGCGAAGGACTTAGTGGTAATGAGTTCTAATCATGGTGACCATCTAACTAGGATTTAGTATCCTATGGGTTCCTTTGGTAACCAAATATAGTAGGATTAGACGGTTGTCCATGAGATTAGTCGAGCTGTGTTCAAGCTGACTCCGACACTTACGAATATAGATAAGAGAGAGGGAAACATATATGAACAATCAAGCAATGCAATAAAATTTTCTTGTGATATTTTTGCTGTTATGTTTGTTGTCATGGTTCCTGATACCATCATTCAGAGCGTCCTCCAATGAGTTTCCTGAACTGACTAGTTACTGATATTCGTTTGCATATCTTAGGAAATAACATAATTTTTATTTTTGGCGGCTTATTATTCTACAGGACATAATTGAATTTTTCGCAAAAAATATGATCAATGAGAGTTTGGGGACAATATGTAATGCACATGTTGTTCGTGCTGACCGTAGTGATTATGGAGCTTTGGATGAGAACTGCATTAAACTAGCTGAATTAGCTGCCACAGCAGTTGATTTCCCAAAGACAGGGATGATTGTGACCATGCCTCCTCAATTAAAACCGAAACTATATCCAGATTTTATGGGAAAAGAAGCTAATCAATCATACAAGTCTACCAAAATTCTAGGAAGACTGTACCGCCGAATTAGAGATGCGTATGATGAAGACATAACCACATCGTGTGAGCTGAATTTTACTCCTGGCGAAGTCCATTACGATGTAGATCTCGAAGTTCCAGGAGCAGCGGATTTCATTTCAGAAGCATGGAATCAGAAGTGCTTGTATGACGGTTCGCTGAGCGGTTTACTTGGACAGTATAAAGTTAATAGGGAAGAAGAGATTGTTACTGGGCATATTTGGTCCATGCCAAAGTACAGTAGCAGGAAGCAAGGAGATCTGAAGGAGAAGCTTAAGCATTCTTATACCACCCTTAAGAAAGAGTTCAGGCAAGTTTTTGAGAATATCGGCCCAGAGTTTGAGCAACTCACTGATGATGAAAGGAATACATTGTATGAAAGGAAGGCCTCTGCCTGGTATCAGGTGGCATACCATCCAACTTGGTTGAAGAAATCAATGGAGTTGCGAGAGCCCGATGCTCCCGAGGCCACCCCGATGTTGAGCTTTCCCTGGATTGCTGCTGATTATCTTGCACGGATCAAGATCAAATGCAGGCGAATGAAAGGTATCGACCCAACGAAGCCGATTAACTCTTTGGCGAGTTATCTTTCCGATCGAATGTGACGATGGTTAGGGCTCTCTCCACTCTCCTTTTGCAGCTGTTTCAGAAAATTAGGCTGCAAGACCACTCTGCCAATATAGAATTATAGTCGTGTCATGTAGTATTGTTGTAGTGTATAATGCAACACCATTGAGTGAAACGAATGTTGTAGATTTTTATCCCCTCGTGTATCTATGAAGTTTATGGCGTTCTATTGGATATCTAAGTTGGCCGTAAATTAGACCTGTATTATACATATATGCTATTGATATTTGTGAATGGCCATGGCCGTACAAACTATACGAGGAAGAAGGAAAACCTCAAAACAAGTAATCTTCTCATCTGTTTTTTCTTCTCTCTTCATATTCGCTCTCTTAAGAATGCTATTGCCACGATCTTCTTATCGGTTTCTTGAAACCGAAGGCGGGAACTGATTCTATCTTCTGTTCCATCGAGACTCATCTCTTTCTTCCAACAAAGATCTATGGGGGAGATACTCTTCTTCCCATTTCATCTTCCCTTTTCATATATATATGAATCTAAGGTGTCCCAGATGAAGGAATATCCAAGATTTCCCGTTTGTTTGACGCATTTTTCTGGTAAAAGTTAATACTCTTTCTCTTTCAGCTCTGGTGCGACAAGGAAATGCCGCGCTTGCTTCACGGGACGCTTCATGCTAATATATTTGGAATCGATAAGCTTCAAACTGGATTTCCTATCTTCTGTGGGAAGGTGTGCTTCTGAAACCAAATTCCATGAACAACTTCAATTGATTCTGTTTCATACAATGGAATTAGTAATAAATTCTTCTTGTCTGGAACCAAACTTGAGAAATCAAATATTTAATTGAAACGTGAATTCATATGAATATTGTCCATAAGAAACTTTCGATGAAAAAATACATTACTATGTTAACTTTATTTGTGCTAAAAAAGAGGTTTGGTCAAATAAATTTCTCCACAATGTTTTTTCGGAAGAGAAGTTTTGGGTGAAAAGAATGACCAAAGGGACATTTTGTAGCCTTTTTGGTATGCAATCCAGATTATGTTCAGTGATATTTACTTATGTTCAGTGATATTTACTTGGCAAATTTCTTTATAAAACGATTTTGAATTTGAATTTAAAATGTAAATTTGCGTTAAAAAAATATAAAAACTGTGATAAATATACAATTTCATGTTATAATTTTTTTTATAGTATGAGGATGGAGGATCGAACTCACAACCTCGTGGTTGGAGCTATATGTTAATATTACTGCTGAATTATATTCGCTTTGACATGTTTTAAGTTCATTTCATGTTTGTTAAAATTTTAAAATTTTAAAAATATAAAATATAATATATAAAAATTATATAATAAATTAGTATTATTTCAAACTGAACTAAATATTTAGTTGTAACTACCGGTTACAAATATAACTAAACACTTTCAACCATTTTTAAAATTGATATTCAATTTTCAAATTTGCTACCATACATATATCTGAAAATACTTTTTTTCCATTAAATCCGTTGTTTTTAGATTTCTGTTTTCAAATCATCCACCAAAGGCAACCTTAGTCTATGGGTTTTCAAATGAATTGAATTCAATGTATCAATTTCCAGTGAATATTTGGTAGTTCTTATGAACTAATTTGTGTATCTTGCTTGCTTTGGATTTCGATGCCATAAGGGCCTTGGTAAGTTATTTAAGATGATGGCTTCATAGCGTATTCTAACAATGAGAATTTGTCGTAAATTTTGGTTTAGAAGGATTTGATAAAACAATTTGATCTGCATTTGTACGTGTTAAAGTCCATCAAGAATCTTAATTCTACAAAATACTCTTCACTACATTATTTGCAGTCTTTGACTGAGGTGAATTTTCCATTGCAGGATAAGAGGGTAAGTGTCTTTCACTGCGAGATAACTCGAAAAAGTCAGGTTTTCATTTTGTTTTTTTTTATCAGTGCTCTAGTTAATGTTAGTTTCATTTACCATCTTTTTCCATCTTCTTCTCATGGAGAAAAGTCAACAAAAAAGTTTCTTGCTGGAGTGAAGAGATGCATCCTTTGCCGGCCTGAGGTATGGAAATTTTCTGGTGGATGTAGCATTGTCTTCTGTCCTACTTCTTAATCTGGGGTCTAATTTCTTCTTTGTTATTTCCTTCCTATATTCACTCAACATGGAGATTGTTGGATCTCAAATGTATGCAACAGTCGATCTCGATAAGGCTCGAGTTGGGCGGACAAAAATCGTGGATCAACCATACAGTCCTCAGTGGAATGAGTATTTTCGTATATACTGTGCCCATACAGTGTCACATGTTATATTCACAGTTAAAGATGGAGGTGTAATTGGTGCAACACTGATTGGAAGAGCTTATGTGCCTGTTGAGGATATTGTAAAGGGATATGTATATGAGAAATGGGTTGAAATATTGGATGAAGACCATAAGCCTGTCTACGGCCGTTCTAGAATCTATGTAAAGTTGCAATTTTCAAGTGTTAATGAAGACAGGAGTTGGTCTCGAGGAATCATGGATCCGAGGTTTGGTGGTGTCCCTTACACATTCTTCAAACAAAGAGGGGGTTGCAGAGTTTCTCTTTACCAGGATGCTCATGTTCTGAACAACTTCCTTCCTCGTGTTGGTCTGTCGGGAGGGAATTATCATGAAATAAACAGGTGTTGGGAGGACATTTTTGATGCGATCAACAATGCAAGACACATAATTTACATAGCTGGTTGGTCTGTGTACACCGAAATAACGTTGATAAGAGACCGAGAAAGAAGAAATACGGGAGACGACATTACTCTCGGGAAACTGCTAAAGAAGAAGGCAGAGGAAGGTGTGACTGTGTTGCTTCTTGTTTGGGACGACATAACTTCCTCTGAAGATTTCAAAAGAGAAGGTTTGATGGCAACTCACGATGAGGAAACTGCAGAATACTTCAGGGACTCAAAGGTACACTGTGTTCTGTGTCCAAGGAATCCTGATGTGGGAAAAAGCTTAGTTCAGGGCTTTGAGACAGCCACCATGTTTACCCACCACCAAAAGACAATTGTGCTTGACAGTGATATAGCTGGTGGAAGAACGGATAAAAGGAGAATTGTGAGTTTTGTTGGTGGTATTGATCTGTGTGATGGGAGATACGATACACCAAAACACCCTTTATTTTCAACTCTAGATTCAATCCACTATAGTGATTTCCATCAGCCCAACTTTACAGGCTCTTCAATCAGGAAAGGAGGTCCAAGGGAACCATGGCATGATATCCATTGCCGCCTAGAAGGGCCTGTTGCTTGGGATGTCCTATACAATTTTGAGCAAAGATGGCAAAAGCAAGTTGGAAACAACTTTCTGATTCCAATGCAAAAGCTTGAAGAAACCATTACCCGTCCATTAATGGTTTTACCGTCAGACGACAACGACACATGGAATGTTCAAATATTTCGATCCATCGATGGCGGTGCAGTTAAGGGCTTTCCAGATATACCTGGAGAAGCAGATAAAGTAGGCCTTGTAAGTGGGAAGAATAATATTATAGATAGGAGCATTCAAGATGCTTATATCAATGCTATTCGCAGAGCAAAGGACTTCATATACATTGAGAATCAATATTTCCTTGGAAGTTCTTATGGTTGGAAATCAAATGTTATAAGGGTAGAAGAAATCAATGCCCTGCATCTTATTCCGAAGGAGATCTCACTTAAGATTGTGAGCAAGATTGAAGGTGGAGAAAGGTTTACAGCATATATTGTGATTCCAATGTGGCCAGAAGGTATTCCAGAGAGCGCATCAGTTCAAGCAATTCTAGATTGGCAAAGGAGAACCATGGAGATGATGTACACAGACATAACTCAAGCCCTTCGAAAGAAGGGTCTGGATGCAAATCCCAGAGACTACCTGACATTCTTCTGCCTCGGCAACCGAGAGAAGAAGAGGACCGGAGAACATGTTCCACCAGAGAAACCGGAGCCCAACTCCGATTACGCTAGGGCTCAAGAGTTCAGACGCTTTATGATCTATGTTCATTCAAAAATGATGATAGGTAAGAATTAAGATTTAAGAGATTACCTTCTTGATTTTGATACTCCAATCCGTTATGCTTGCTGGGTTTCTGTTAAACCCCTGAAATCTGTATCTCAGTTGACGATGAATACATAATTATTGGGTCTGCGAACATCAACCAGAGGTCAATGGATGGAGGAAGAGACTCTGAGATTGCAATGGGGGCGTTTCAGCCTCATCACTTGGCCGGCGGGGAGGCTGCAAGAGGTCAAATCTATGGCTTCCGAGTGGGTCTCTGGTACGAGCATCTTGGCTTGTTTGACAAAGTATTCCAAAACCCAGAGGGTGAAAACTGCGTCCAGTTCGTGAACAAGCTCGCTCAAGAAAACTGGCAACTTTACACGGACGATACCTTCGACGGGGATCTTCCTGGTCATCTTCTTCGGTACCCCATTGAAGTTGGCCCTGACGGGTCAGTTTCGCCGCTGCCGGCATTTGAATTTTTCCCTGACACGAAGGCTCGTGTTCTTGGCCAACTGGCCGATTATCTACCCGCAATCCTTACCACTTGACGACATGTCGGCTGACCAGGATCGTTTGAATGCTTTAATCGTCTCGTCGTGCCTAGGCTTGGTAGTGTAATGGTCAAGATTTGATTTTAGATTAGTTGATTGATGATAAATCATTTTATTGTCATCTCAGTTAAAAGTTGGAACAAATACCAAGATTAATGGAAGATTATGAGAACAAATATGTAATTTTCTAAGTCTTGCAATATTGATATATTCTCAATTTTGACTGTCATTTTAATATTTTACTTTTTTAGTACAGCATGTGGGGAGGAGGATTGAACTCATAATCGCATTGTTGGAGGTATATGTCAATTACTGTTGAGTTAGGTTCGTTTTAACTATCCGCTGTAGTTTAAAGTTTGTATCGATTTAAACTTTATTATATATATATATATATATATATATTTTTTTTTTTTTGATAAATCAAGGAGTGACCAAATATATTTATAAATTATAAATACTATCATTATGTTTATAAATTTTGATGAAATTTTTTTCCGAAAGAGGCTACAAATTTTGAACTATTTAAACTAAATTGTTACCCATCAAAATTCAGAAATTAAATTGTTACAAATTTGAGAGTAAAAGGATTAAATAGTTATAAATTAGAATTTAGAGACTAAACCATTATTTTTATCGTTAAGCAAATATATTTTTTAAAATTAATCTTTTTGAAAACACAAAAAAATATTGTCATAAATGTAATATGGTGGACAAAATATAAATGCTGACGGGTAAACGTTCCGGTGTTATTTTTTTTTTTATAGAAAAGGATCTATCCATTTTGCGTTCTCCTATTATATTTGTAAAAAATTTTTATGGTTATTGATGGGTTCTGGATCCAAGTATTGGTTTTTTTTTTCCTCTCTTTTTCTTTCCTTCTTCCCATCATTGCAGCAGAACATTTCGTAAGATTAAAAATGGAAGATGAATGGAGTATGGACTCTGTTCTCCACTTGTACGGTACCATCGTTATTCAATGGGCTAATTAGTTCGATTCGACCTTTTCAAAAACTACCCAAGCTTGCGACTGTGGACCGTCTGGATTTTATTCGAGGCCTTCTCGCTTTCACGGAAAATACATCAAAGAGGGGTCGGCTCGGGGAGTTTATTTGATTTTCAACGCCGTCGTAACTGTAAGCCAAAGCTGTTGGCTATTGGGTTTTCGACGCTGCCTTCGCTTTTTTGCTTTGCTTACTGGTTTTTCTTCGTGCGATTCATTGTGCAGGAGCTTCGGGCCTCTACCCACCAGGATTTAGTGCTTTTCTTCGGACAATTTTGCTTGGAAACCGCGTAAATGCATTATCGAGGGATTATTTGGATTGCGCCCTGACGGATTATGGCACGAATGGGGTGAGTTTCTTGTGTGTTTTGCTTGTCTTTTCCTTTCTTAACGATCATTTAGAAAACCCCTTTCGGTCAGTTGCAAATCCAAGAGAGGACAAGCAATTACTCGGAGTAGCAACGATGGACGACCATTAATTTGTCAATCTCCTCATCTCTGTCTTTCTGGGGGTAGTGTGGGTCTTGTAGATCACATTAAAAGGAGGATTTATTGGTCACTTTTTGGTTCTTCCCTTAGCTTGCAGGGTAAACAAACAGAAGCATTAGCTTTTCGTGGGTTGTTTAAGAGTATTTTACTTTGGTTTGGAATCTTTAGTATTTCTATTTGCTTCTTCATAAAGCAAACTCGAGAGTTAGTGAACAGGGGAAACCGTTTCAGGCTTTTTACCCTTCATTCCTTTCTTCAAATTCCGGGAAGTTTTTTTAACCCAGAGGAGGTATGTATTCTAGGTGTTGTCTCCTCAGCCGTTTAGAGGGTTGCTCTAGCAAGAAACCATGTTGCTCGTTTTTACAGTTTTCTGGAGAATATCTGCGCGCTCTTATACTTTTGATGGTGGATAATATCAAGCTTCTTTTCAATGTAAGGATCTTAGTTTAATCCTTGGATGAGATATGAATCAGATGGAGATAATTTATCAATTGTTAAGTTGGTCTTTAAGAAAATTCATTCCTTCTGAAATTGACTCCAAGTCTTTGTATTCTGATTTCCTTACCTACTCTCTTCTCTAAATCTCTCCACGCATCTGTGTGTATATATATATAATTTTCTTAGGTTTTAGGCTTCTTCTTCTTCTTCAATTACACTTGTTTAGAGGATTAGCTGATCAGCTTGAGTAAGAGGACCAGGGAGATAAGAAAAGGCTCTCCAATTGACTAATAAAAAGAAGAACCTAAGGATTCTTTTGAAGGTCTAGCAAACTAGATACGGTACAATGAATGACATTCCACTCTGTACAGTTTCCGCAAGAGCCATCCTACTCATTTCTTTTCAAATTTGCCAGTGCCAGCATGCGGCCAAGATGGAGCTAGAACAAAGGAACTTACAATTTAGTTTGTTTGATGATGATTTTGTTTTAATTGTCTTTTGTATAAATTAAGCTAATGAGAACTACTTATGCCTATGTTTTCTTTGTTTTGTTTTTTTCCTGATTAAGAACTACTTTTCTCATGGTCAAAATTAGGCTAGGATTTGAAACATAGTTTTCAGAGTAAACTATAATACAAAGAAAATTGTTAGCAATATTATGATTTCTAAATTGTTAGCAATATTATGATTTCTCTCTCCCATTTTTTCTTTTTAATAAATAAGAAGTTTTCAAATGGGCCCTTAGCTTTAGAAGGTTGATTTTTGCCCACAATTTGTGCACACACCCACATCTGTTGTCCTAGTGTCTGACACTAAATCTGGTGCTTATACTTTCAAATGGATATATTTGTTGATGTATCATGCACTACCACTAGTATAAAGTACTGATGCATACTGAAGTATTTAGTTTGTTGAGGCTGCATTCTCAATGGTTCCAGATTTTCTTTCAAGTTTTTTGTTAAACTCTCCAGTGAATTTATATATATCAAAGAAAGCATAATTATAGAAATCCCCTTAGAGAGATTGGAACTGATCACTTTATGATTTAAACATGGTTTGTAACAGAGAAGATGCTGTAGTGGATGCTGCACTGCACCTGCACTAGGTAATGCAATGGATGGACCATCTAAAGGTCTGAGAGTTGAAGACCAAGAAGCGAAAAAACAATGCTTACCGGAAAATTTCCCAAGTTCTAGCACATATGAAATGGACAACAGTACAGTTTGGTCCCAGAGAAGCATTGCATCAGCCAAGTCTCATGATTCCCACAGCAATATTGGGAGCAGTAGAGACTTTGTAAATTCTGGTATGTGCATGCTCATAAATCAGCCTGATGTTTGTATTTTTATTTTTTATTTATTTTGGATAAGCTGTCGATTCTTGAAACATACATACATTGGTTTATGATAAAGCTCCATTTTGCTTGTTCCTTCGGAGTTTCTCTCTCTACTGGGACGAGTGCTTCATTGGCAATCTTTTCATCTTGGCTCCTATAGCGGTGGTTCTAACATATATTTATCCTTCTCTTTCTGTTTTCTATGTCATCATTAAAGAAGGCATTTAGAAAAGGTTGTTCATGCATCATTCTTCTAAGTTCTATGCTCTTAATTGTTATAATTTACTACCGTCTGTTGCTGTTTTCTCTTTCTGATTTCAAATCTAATCCTCTGAGTCACCCGTCCATCGTGATGGGCGATCGTTGCCTCAAAGACTCTGTTCTTTTGGGTCGAGGGTCAGGGGACTAGAAACGAAGCCTTGAGTTTAGTGCTGTTGAGGCTTTTTTTGGGTCCAATACTGTCTTTGGTGTATTTAAAGTAAAACAAATTTTATCCTTTGTTCCAATCCTAGTTTCCTGAGTTTAATCAAAATCTGAATAAGCATTAATGGTTTCAGGTCTGCTTCTTTGGAACGAGACCAGGAAGCAATGGGCTGGAAATAAATTGTCCGAGAGCCAAAAGCAAGTTCGAGAACCGAAAATAAGGTGAATGAATAACTTTTTAGTGCAACACAACGCGAAGTGTTGGTATTTACACTTACTCATTTGATTCACCCGGTAATGCAAACAAACAATTCTCCTCAACCATATAAAAACTCTTGCTTCATTTGATGACTTGAAAATCAGACCGTTAGACTTAAAAACCCCATCATTGATCTACAAAGCCTTGAGCAAGGGACAAAAACAATGAAGATTTAGATATTTTTTCACTGATCTTGATGTCACGGTTGAATCGCAGATACATTACTAATTAGTGTGCCCCCAAATCTTAATCTTCTGCAGTTGGAATGCTACTTATGAGAGCTTGTTAGGAACGAACAAGCCGTTCCCCGAGGCCGTGCCTCTTGCTGTAAGTTGTCAGAAAGTTTCACTTGTTCTCTACTGCATTTTCTTGTCCACCCGAATGACGGATTGTTAATTTTGCTAACAAAAATGCCAGGAGATGATAGAGTTTCTTGTTGATGTCTGGGAGCAGGAGGGTCTGTATGACTGAGCCTGCAATTCAAGGGGAGTCTTCATATTGTTTAAACTTATGCAGCTTGAATTTTTCGCTGCTGAATCTATATGTTCGATTATGCTCGATCGCGATGCTTATAGTATACAAATAATAGCGTTTATGTTGAATTTATGCTATAATCAAGAATGGTATCATGGTTATAAAATTTTTAGTTTTAGATTACTTTGTTGTATGGTCTTTATGTTGAATTTCTGCCACACTTGAGCTGTCTGGGGTTCGCATCTTTGCTGGTTGGGGAAGGTGGAAGTGAATACAGTTTGGGCTTCTGGGAATTCCTAAGCCCATGAAGATGAAGATAAGTTGTTGGCAGAATCTTATTAAAATATTTAGGTTATGTAAATTTAATAAATTGCACAAATTAATAGGCCAAGTAATTAATAGGCCAGAAATGCTCCAAAATAGAGTCTCAAACTCAACATTGAACTACCCAAATAAAGGAGGAAGAGAGAGAGAAAAAAATGTTGGCCACAAAAATGAGCATCTACAAATAGTGTAATGTATGGGGCATATAAAAGAAAATGGAATATTAAAAAAAAGAAAAAAAAAGGAAGGAGGTTGAAGTTGAGGATAAATGAAATATCCAAATGGCAAAAGATGAGAGGGTGGGAGAATGATTAAATGAGGCATTGAATGAGTAAGAAATGTGGGTGAAAATAAAATGATTAGGGTTTGACAGCAAATGTGTGTGTGTTGGGGTTTTGGTGAGACAAAGAAAATGGCTGTGGGGTCACATTTATTGACATTTTAGATGATGTGACCACCTTAAAACCCCATCCCCCACTTCTTCATTCAATTCAACACTCATTTCAAAAAAAAATATATATAATTCTCCTAAAAATAAATAAATAAATATTCGAAATTCAATAATAAGATACTGATTATTTTTAAGTCGAAAATTTCTTCCATTTGTTGTACTAAATAAAAATGGGGTTGACAACATAAACTTAGCTTAGCGGTAATTGACACTAATCTCTGATCAAGAGGTCATGAATTCGAACCCTCCATCTTATTGTTGTACTAAGAAAACAACAGTTTAAACGGATAGTCTAATCGTGAACTTAACTTAGCAAGATAAGGTTGGAAGGAAAAAGAAATGTTTTTCATTTTCTATAATTAAAAAAAATGTTTTCCCATCTTTGTTAGATTTTTTAAATTTTTGTGGGTTGTGAYGTCTTTTTTATTTATTTATTATTTATATATCTAATTGACTGTGAGTATAGATGTGTTTTTAGAAGTAAAAAAATTATATGTAAAACATGAGTATAAATGTAGACTTAGTCTAACTTTGAATAGTAAAGGTTTTTAGTATAGGAAGATTTGAACCTTCTATTTCAAGGAAAAGAGTAAATGTCAATGTTAGAAGTTATGCTCATCATGTTGACGTCTTGAGGTGTCCATGGTAGGGTGGGGACGGAAAAGTCATTAAATTTTCTATGACATTTTGCAAGGATCGAAATGGAAAATGTCCTCTTAGTAACTCGTGGAGATCAGATTTATTGATGGAAATTATTCCTCGTCTACTGAGAAATCAAGAGGGACTCATTTCTCTTGTTTCTTATAATGTAATAATATTATTTCTTTAAAAAACCTCCTAAAAATATTCTAATTTTTTGTTTTCAGTTTTTTTTAATAGGTTCAGTTTTTAAAAATATTCTTTTATACGTATAAATTTATAATAAATACAACCATTTTAAAAAGAAAATAAATTTTCCAAATCCATCCTCTATTTCACCAAACATATTTCTTTTTTCAATAAAATAACAGAGGATAAAAAAGTAATTTACCAAGCACGTTTTAATTTTTCGTTTCTTAAAAAAAAAAAAAAAAACTGTGCGTCATCAGGAAGTTTCCCCTCTGTCTACGAGCGAGTAATTTTTCTGCAAATTTTAAAATATATTACCAGACGATACAGCCAATCCATTCGTCAAGTGGTG